AGGAGGCTCGTGGGAGGGACTCCCTCAAACCAGAGGTGACAAGATGGCCGCCGGCTTCTTGGCCACATTCCCACAGCGAGGGCCACTGAGGAGGCGATGGGAGGGGGGAGGGGTGTGTGCGAGTGGTGAGGGGGGGGCGAGGGGGGGGGGGGGGGGGGGATGGTGGTTGGCAGCCTTGAGCGAGAGGGAGGTGAGGAGTGGGCACACGTCTTCAGAACTCTCCTCCCTCCCTTCCCTGCTTCAGAGGGAAGGCGGAGGTGCATCGGCGTGGCGCCTACTGTGACCTGCTGGCACCCCTAAAAGCTCGCCCCAGCCAGGAGGCTGCCTGTAGAAGTAGTGGCATGGCGGTAAGGGGAAACCAGGCACAGCGAGATCCCACAATGTGAGAACGTGTAGGCCATCCAGCCCATCGAGCCCACTCTGCCGCTCAGTAGCGGATTAGATCATCCCCAATTCCGACTTTCCTAAATTTTTCCCATGACCTCCCCCCAAATCTCCGTCCTGATTAAAATCTTTCTTGGCCTTGAATAGAGTTCATGATCCAGCCCCCACAGCCCTCTGAGGTAAAGAATTCCAGATTCACTCCCCTCGGAGAGAGGAAATCCCTCCTCATCTCTGAATAAAATGGCTGACCCTTTACTCTGAGATTACACTCTCTGGTCTCAGACTCTCCCACAAGGGGACACACCCTCTCCACATCTCCCCCTGTAAAGTCCCTCTAAGAATCTTGTCTGTTTCAATAAGGTCGCCTCTCATTCTTCTAAATGAGTACAGGCCCCGACCTACTCAACCTCTCCTCATAAGACAGCCCCTCAGCCGAGTGAACCTACTGTGGACTGTCTCCCTCTATCTCTGTTTGGATACGAGGCCCCAGAACTGTTCACAGTATTCCAACTGTGGTCTGACTGCCATCGGTGGCTTTCCCCGCGTGGCCACACTGTGTCAAAACCCAAGCTCCTGAGCTGCCTTCCTGTCTCGGGATGGAGAAATGTACCAATGGTGAAATTTCCTCTCTCCATTTCCCCACTGCTGTGCTATTTCCAAACGCTCCTGCGCCACTTCTTCCCGCCGCCTCAGTTGCCTACCTTTGGTCACGGCTGAGCGAGCGGGCCGACGTTCCACGGACGGAGTATGAAGTGGGGAAAGTGTCCTCACTCCAACTGAAAAGCAGTGTATTCCATAAAAACAGAAAGACTGTAGGGCAGAGGGATCTGGGGGACCCAATACATGAGTAGGGAAGGGAGGAGGGAGCAGGTTGAGCTGAAGGCCCACATGAGCAACTTGGACCAATCCGATGGGCAGCAAGGCCTCCTTCCATGCAGCTTCAATCTGGCTGCGGGCCATTTAGCCCTGCGAACCTACCCCACCTTCCGTGACTGACACTTAAAACTACGGCTCCCACTCGCTTGCCCCCTCCCTGCTCTCCAATCTCAAATCTAATCCACATCCAGTGGCTGGGCCGAATGTCCTGTTCCTGTGCTGTATTAGTTTCTCCGCCAGCCTCTGAGATCCTCCTCAAACTCAGCCCAAAATGACAGGCCCTTCCTTCCCCGTCCCTCATTCTGACCTTGAGCACCAGCCTTGATCTGAGAGATTCGGAAGAGGGGCGTAGAGTTGTGGATGGACGGTGAACCGGGAGCATCGGCTTCCATGGGACGGGAGTCACGTGGACTGAGTGGCGCTCTCCCCTCCAACCCCTCCTACACGCACACACACACACACACACATTCACACAGACACACGCACGCACACACTCACTCACACACATATAGACACACACACACACACACACACATATAGACACACACACACACTTACACACTCACTCCCACACATATAGACACACACTCACACACACACATATAGACACACACACACACAGACACACACACACACAGACACACACACACACAGACAGACACACACACACGCAGACACACACACACGCAGACACACACACACGCACTTACACACACACTTACACACACACACACACGCAGACACACACACACACACTTACACACACACTTACACACACACACACACACACACACTTACACACACACACACTTACACTTACACAGACACCAATGACCTGTCCCAACTGTGCCAGGGTTGACAGTCACTGGCACTGTGCCAATCCTGACCCATCTCCTTCTCCAACATCACCCCAACCCTTCTCTCACTCTCTCCCTCTCCCTCGGGACAGCATTCATCCTGGTGTGGCGAGGTCGCGGTTAAGAGTTGATGCCTGTGGAGCCTGGAGGCACGTGCTGATCCCTGAATAACAGGGGGCATCAGTGAATCCCCTGAAAGGGGTGCTCTTTGTGAGCTAACCTTCTGCACCCCTGGGCTTTCCAGAGCGAGGGGTTGACCCCAACTGAGTGTTACAGACTGGGCACATTGCAGGGTCCAGGACAATGCGCTGAGGGACGCACTACAGCTTGGGGCAGCAGTTGGCATGGCACATTGGGGGAAAGACCACTGTCTGAGGTCTCCCTGCTGAAGGTAAATGGGGGTCTGTTCAGTTATTGGAACCTCCTAGTGCCTCAAATATTTGTATTGTATGTGTAAGGGAGGTCTTTGATTTTGTGAATTGAGTCAAACTCCAATGTTTTGTTTAGTTGATATGCAAACAGTGCAGAACCGAACTGCCTCTATAGCAATGTATATATACAAAGAGGTTTCTTTTAATGAGTAAAGTACAGTTTTGAAATTCAAATTAAAAAAACAACACCGCCCTGGGTGAAAGTCCATGATCCTGAGACATGGTTCAAAACTTGATCCCGCCAACGCACAGAATGTGCTGGAAGGGAGAGAGAGAGAGAGAGACTCCAGGCAGAATTTTTGAGAACGGAGAGAAAGAGAGAGATAAAACTGTGCTTTCTACGCAGTGCAAAGTCTTTGACCGTGTCAGACTTTCACCCAGGCAACCTAAACCAGCGAGAGAAAGCGAGAGAGAGAGAATTGAATTGAAAACATGAGATGCACTCACCCACCCCGTATCTCTCGCCTTTAGCAGGAAGCCAGTGAGACATGACCTGCCTCCTTTTTCTCGATCACTTTTCCATCAAAGCCTGCTCTGCAAGGACTTGCCTCTCTGGGTCATATTGTTCGAACTTTCAGAGTCAGACAGAGCTCCCATGAGATGTTCTCAATCACTCCTGTCCTCCATAAGGCGGGTTGACTCTCTCTCTCTCTCTCCCCCACAGACCAGCTGATGAATGAACTTCCCATTTAAACAATGCCCACGGCTATTGCACAGCAATACTGCCAAATCTCTCCCCTACCCAACAACAAAACTGCGTGTGTCACACCCTTTTAAACTGTAATCCCTCTGACAAACACACAGAGAGAGAGAGAGATGCACAGTTCCAACAGACTGAACCAAAATCTCCCAGCACCCAGGATGTAATGGAACAAGAAACCCAACTCTTCGACATCGTCTCTTTTCAATCAATGTTTTATATCGAGGGTCTCGAAGGGGACAGCAAGGTGCAGCGTGTACACCACCATTCCCCGCTCCCATCCCACCACCCACCACACTCACTAGAGGGGCTGATATGAAGGGGGAAGGTGCTGGGGACAGAATCAGTTCAACGTGGCTCACCTTTGGAGGAGCTGGGCCCACCAGTGATATTGGTGCCAGACAAATATCAGGCTATGACCGTCTCCAATGAGAGAGAATGTAACCATCGCCCCCTTGGCATTCAATGGCGTTACCGTCTCTAACTACCACCACCCCCAGTCCTGCATTTGGGTAGCACCTTTTCTGTCAGAAGAACTTTCTATTATGGCGAGGGAGCTTCATTTCGAAGTGCGGGCGCTGTCAAAATGCACGCACAGCAGGATCCCACCCTGATGGGGGGCGCTTTGTTTCAGATGACATTGAAGAGGGACAAGTTTGGGAGTACAGCACCTCCTTCTCTGGGTGAGTTCCAGTCTTACACTGAAGACCGGGACTGGGATTCGAACCGACCACATTCAGACTCAGCGAGAGAGAGAGAGAGATATAGAGTGACACTGCCATACAGTGGCCATAGGCTGACACTGCAGGGTTGGCACCTACAAAATGAGCAAAGAGGATCCCTGCCCTCATCTAACTGGGCAGATTCTCCGTTGGGCTCTTGCGGAGTTAACTAGTGGCTTCTCCATCCTGGTTAACAGGCTCAATGGCACACGGGGGACCATTCAGCCCACAATGTGAGTGCTAGCCCTTCCCGCTTCATGCCTGGTCAGTCCCAGAATAGCTGTAATGCACAGGGAGATCTCAGAGGGAGAGTTCAGTCAGTTTACAGCAGATAGAGAGAAAGAGACAGACAGACAGACAGACACACAGAGGGAGAGACAGAGAGAGAGAGAGAGAGAGAGACAGCGAGAGAGAAAGAGAGACAGAAAGAGAGAGAGACAGTGACAGTGAGAGAGAGAGAGAACGAGAGATGGAGAGAGAGGAACAGAGACAGATAATAAGAGAAATTCAGTGGGGATCAGAGAGAGAGTGTTCCAGAATGTGAGAGACAGACGAAGAGTGCGAGAGAGAGAGAGAGACAGGCAGAGAGAAACCGATTGTGAGAGAGAGGACAAAGAGAGAGAGAGAGA